CAATTTATTACATATTAGTTTGTCATGAGCCATATGACTCGTGGAACCAGAATCCAATAACCAAATACAACAATTATCATTTGCACCCACCTCAAGTTTCTTTTCACTTGCCTCATGAGTTGCTTCTGTTTGTGAAACGTCATTAGCTCTTAGCACAGCTTCGTCTGCAGTTCGCAATGAAATTTCCTCCCTTTCATGAGTCTGTCTGCTTGATCTTCCTCTAAATCCTCTTTGGAAATTTCCTCTACGTCCTCTTCCTATAAATGTTCCACCTCTTTTTGGTTCTCTACAGTTTGCAGCCACATGATTAACTCAACCCACAATTAAAACAATGGATATTATTTTTGGACCCATCTCTTACTTTCCTCACTGATTCCTGATCTCTGTGGAATCTTTCTTCTTTTCTCGATTCCTTTCTAATTTCCTCCTGTTTGAGAGCAAAACGTATATCATTAATCGTTACATTCTTTTGTATTTCTAAAACCCTCACATTCGAATCATATTCTTGTCTGAGCCCTCTTAAAATGTACATTTTTAATTCAAACTCTTCTATGTTCTTTCCCAATTGTACACACTGGTTCTTTAGTGCTTCTGCCCTATTTATATAAGCATCAATACCTTCGTCCCTTTTCATTTTTAAATTTGTTAATTCGTTTAACAATCTCGCTTTTAATTCCTCCGTTTCAGCGGCCATGTTTCTCTTTATCAAAGCCCATAGTCTATCAGCGTTTTTTTCACTACTATATTTTAACAATTGAGCCTTACCCATTGTGTTTATCATTATTGTCCTGGCTGCGTAATTATTGTCATCCCACTCGTTCCATTGTTTCAATTTTCCTTCATAGTCTTCTTCACCTTCCTCAGGTTTTTCTATCTGTTTGACCCCTATTACTTTTTTCCACAATTTTTTTGAACGCAAAATACCTTCTACTTTTTCGCTCCATAAAAAATAATTAGTATCATCGAGAGGTTCAATACTAGCGATATTCCACGTGTCCGACATGATTTCTTTTTCTTACGCTTTTCTTCAGATTTCTTATTTTACTTCGTACTTCCTTTAAACCACAGACCTGCTACCAACTTGTGGGAATTGGTAAACTTGAAATTAACATTTCTCTGAATATTTCTTTGAACCAAAACTATTTTTAATTAATTGTAAAAGATACATAAACCATTTTTCACTCATTCAACGCTCTCACACTCACTCATCTTTTTCTTTCTTCTTTTGTTACAGTCTTACCAATCTCCTCACTTCTACCAACCCACACACTCCTACCAACTCACTCACTCATGCCAACTCACGCACTTATTAAAAAACCAACTTCACAGGTTCCGATATTCTTATCTGGAATGAATCATTAGGTTGGTCATCCAACACTTTTTAGGTCCGAGTTGCCCCCTGACCTTCTAGGCCTCGAGGTTTATGACATGGCCTGTGTCACTGAAGCCCAAAACTCTAAGGAATATTGCAGCAATAAATAAATCTGCTAAAAACTACAAATTGTCACGTACCATCGTAGTGCTGGCACGAAGATGGTACGGATATTAAACAATAAGGTTCAAAAGTGACCGCTTTCTCTCGTCACGTCGTAAACCTCATCTATATGAAACTCTAACAGAAAGTATTAAAGTACAACAAGAGAACTTCCGCTTACTATTTACAGTGTTCATTCTATATACGCAAAAATGTCCTTTCCGATATAAGCAAAAATGTTATCCCCACCACTGGGAGGAAGACCCCTCGAGACGCCCGAAGTTCGCTCGCCGGGAAATGTAACGTGATTCGAGCCTTAGTGTATCCGTGAGACAATACCCATGCAAATATGAAACTTTTTTATTTTTGACTTTTTCGTTATCAAACTTTTACCAATTAATTCTTGACATTTTTCCGATTAAAATGAGACCAAACACGATATAATTTGGACTATATTTACTGGTTTAATTGACGATAAAAGTTTCTAACGCAGAAGAGGATAGCGAGTGAAAAAGAAAGAGACACTGCGGTGGTGGCAGTCGGCGAAGATCAAGTCTGTTCGATTGTTCGCAATGTTTAAGCATTGCTAATTTTTTTATTTTTCATCCATTTTTTTATATAACTTTCTCCATCATATTCGTGACATTTTCCTGACTAAAATGAGACCAAACACGACATAATTTGAGTTATATTTACTTGCAATATCTTATTAGAGTAAAATCATCGATGTACGCGTAACACTTGAAATTACATGTAAATATGTCCCGAAGTATGTCGTGTTTGGTCTCATTTTAATGAGAAAAATGTTACAAATATGTTCCATCATATGTTATATGATGGAAAAAATAAAAAAGTTTTATTCTTGCATTAGGAGTGTCCTTCTAGTAGGTCACTGTTTATTTACGTTCAGCCTTCTTCGCTCGAAATGTAGTACCTTTACGATATACGCAAACGGCGACCGTGTTATTTTTCCCTTCTGTCCTTTTCTACGTTCGGCAAGACATCAATCAATGTAGGACCTGTACGATATACGCAAAACCTCAGACCCGAAAGATTTGCTTATATAGAATGTCCACTGTATTGCGTCGGACGTAGTAACTTTGCAGAAAATACTGACAAAATACACTCCTTTACCAAATTCTGCATGTATTCATACTTTACGGGAATGGCAGTGTGAAGGGTCAAAGAAAGGAAAGGACAAAGATTGTAGGTGACTAACTGTCGAAAGCGAGGCAGGATGAATATGAGGATGACGGACTGTTTACGGGAGATATAGAAGATAGAGAGCAAATGGTGTGACTGTTAATGTGATTTTTGTCCTTTGCAGAAGATAGGGAGGATGATATCCACCAAATATTAATGTGGATACCACCAAATTTGAAACGAATAAGGACAAAATTGTGTAAGGATCTTAGTGACTGGTTTAATAACTCAATGACTCGTTTTAAAAAACAAAAAATATTTAATATAAAAAAAAAACAAAATACAATTCACGCTCGCACGACTTCTCTCTTTAGACTCTCTTATTTAACTGCCCTGTTCCTTTTAATCTGACAACAGTTTTCCTCTCCCAAATCCATTAATACACGCATTCCTATTACAAAGAATTGTCTCCCGATCCAAACACTCTTCATTCGCACCTCGCCCGATCCGATTGCCATACCGCACATCCAGTCCTATCTCGTCTCCCACACTCGGCCATCAGGTATGATATCTGTCCTTAGATATCTTTTTTTATTCTTCACCTGAAGAGACATCACTAGCTTCATTAACCTACGGTTTTATATGCTCCGCCAAAGTCGATGTCTGCTGCGGACCCTCATGCTCGCCTACCTTATACAGAATGAAACGATCGTTCCTCAAGATTTTCTCAATTCGATACGGACCTAAATATTTTGATGCAAACTTCAAACCCGGCCCGTATTAGGTTCTTTTTATAGTAACCAATTCTCCTTCTATGTATTGCCGTGCTTTCTTTCTATCATATCCGTGTCGATTCTCACGCTGAAATTTTAAAATACTTTCCTTAGTCTGATTCTGCAGCTTCTCGCTATTGTTCTGGAACATATCGATCCATTTCTTTTCTATTAACTTACAAATATCTGGATTATCTTTCATTCTTGGATACATCCCAATCAATAGTCTAAACGGCGTTGTACCGATGCTCCTACGGGGTGTTGCATTTAAAAATTTTTGTGTAATATCTGTAGCGGCCTCGTCGCTGTTATTCAAGTTGGTAGAAAGCCTCCGAGTGAAAGTGCAAGCGGGCCCACATTTGGCGACCACTTGTGCGGCCGGGGTTTTTCCCAAGTTTTGGTGACGCGACGCTAGCTTTCCCGCTCGTTTTTGCGGGGGCTTTCTTTAGCCTTGCCGCCTGGGCAAAAGGGCTATAAAGGCCCGTAGGAAAGCGGGTGGGCGGTCATTACTTTTTACACTATAGCGGCGTTAACACGTAGACTCACAGCCTTTTAAAATAAAGTTTTCTTACGTTTTGAAATACGACATTTGAATTAACCTCTATCCCACAAGTTGGTGACCCCGACGTGATCGGAATTAAAAGTGAATAGTGCGGGTATTGAGAGAACATTAACAGACAATTTTTAGTGATAAATATAGTTTAGTGTAGCCGTTAGTCAAAAAAAAAAATGTCGATGGATAACGCCGCGAGTGGTGCCTCCGTGGGTGGTGTCTCCTCATCCGGTTTTGAACGCGTTGGTGTTAGGATTCCGGATTTTACTCCGGACGATCCAGAATTATGGTTTTGCGTTTTGGAGAGGAACCTTGCCGCTGCCGGGATTTCGTCCGATGGAGTGAAGGCCAGCTACGTTACTGGTGCTCTCGGACTGCGTTACATCGCCGAAGTGCGGGACGTTTTGCTAAATCCTCCGGCGTCCGGGTTGCACGAAACCCTTAAAAGAGAGTTGGTGCGGAGATTGAGTGTTTCCCAGGAGCAGAAGGCTAGGCGGCTACTGGAGCACGAGGAGATCGGCGACCGTAAGCCGTCGCAATTTCTGCGGCACTTACGCGGTTTAGCGGGAACGTGAGTTTCGGAGTCTTTGTTGCGCACGCTGTGGTTAAGACGCCTTCCGCAAAACGTGCAGGCGATTCTGGCTACGCAGAAGGATACGGCTTTGGAGAAGGTGGCCGAGCTCGCGGACGTCATAGTAGATACCATTCCCGGTCGGCCGTTGGTGGCTGAGACGTCGCGGGTAGTTCCTGCGGGGCCACCAAATCCCGTGGATCCTCTTGCAGACCGGATGATGCAATTACTTATAACATTGCAAAACCAGACGGAGATGATGCAGGGGCAAATCAATGAGCTCCGTGCCTCTCGCAGGGATCATTCGCCGTTTAGGCGATTTGAGAGAAGACGGAGTGCTCCTCGACAGCGGTCCAACTTTCGTCAGCGTCCGCACGCTCCAAATGGGAAGTGTTGGTACCACGAAAACTGCGGTACCAGGGCGCATCGCTGTATACCTCCGTGCACGTTTTCCCCATCGGCGGAAAACCGTTAGGGCAGTCGCTGATGGCGGCTAGCGACTTCAGCCCGATGTTTCGCCGTCTTTTTGTTTGCGACCGTAATTCGAAGACGCAATTCTTGGTCGACACTGGAGCCGACCTTTGTGTCTTCCCCAGGAAGATAATGCACGGACCATGCTCACCCGTTGGCTACGACCTCTCTGCGGCAAACGGCACATCGATCGCAACATACGGCACAAGGACGATTACGCTGAATCTGGGTCTTCGACGGGATTTTACGTGGAGTTTCGTCATCGCCGAGGTTTCCAGACCGATCATCGGGGCTGATTTTTTGGCTCACTTCGGATTGCTGGTGAACGTGAAGAACCAGCGACTGATCGACCAGGGGACGACGCTGACTTCGCGAGGAGCACCGGTGCAGGAAGAGGTTTTGTGTATTAAGGTGGTGCAAGGCGAGTCGGCGTTTCACGAGCTCCTGCGACGTTTCCCGGAGATATCAAGACCCAACGGAGTTCCCACCAAGGTGCATCACGACACACGGCACTTCATAACAACTTCTCCAGGGCCGCCCCTAGTCTGCTAGCCTCGACGTCTTGCCCCGGACCGGCTACTGGTAGCGAAGAAGGAGTTTGAAACAATGGCATGTCTCGGTGTTGCGCGTCCCTCTAATAGTAGTTGGGCTTCTCCCTTACACTTAGTTCCGAAAAAAGGGAGTGACGATTGGCGTCCGTGCGGCGATTATAGGGCCCTTAATGCGCGTACGATTCCGGACCGTTATCCTATAAGGCATATTGAAGACTTCGCGCAGTCTTTACGCGGTAAGCGGTTATTTTCTACTATAGATTTAGTTAGGGCTTATAATCAGATCCCGATGGCAAATAGCGATATTCCGAAAACAGCGATTACCACACCATTTGGATTATTTGAATTTCCTTTCATGTCCTTTGGTCTGCGTAATGCCGCGCAAACGTTTCAACGGTTTATTGACGAGGTTTTGCGAGGACTGGATTTTTGCTACGCCTACATAGATGATATTTTGATTGCATCTCATTCGGAAGAGGAACATTTACAGCACTTAGAAATATTGTTTAATAAACTTAAGAAATATGGTGTGGTAATAAATCCAGCTAAATGCGTTTTCGGGAAACCTAAAGTTAAGTTCCTCGGGTATATTGTTTCGGAAGAAGGTTCAAGTCCGTGCCTAGATAAAGTTAAAGCGATTGCGGATTTTCCGGAGCCTGTAACCGCGAAACAGGTACGCCGTTTCCTGGGTATGCTTAACTTTTATAGACGTTTCATACCCAGGGCGGCTCACGCTCAAGCCCCGTTAAATGAGTTGCTTACAGATAATATTAAGGGCAGTCAACCTGTTTGTTTGACATCGGAAGCTCGGGAGGCATTTATAGAGTGTAAGCAAGACCTGTCGCGGTCAGCATTGTTAGCGCACCCCGAGCCGAACGCACAGGTAGCCCTTACCTGTGACGCTTCGAATGTTATGGTCGGAGCCGCGTTGCATCAGCGTATCGGCAATGATTGGGAGCCTCTATCTTTCTTTTCGGCAAAACCCTCACCGACGGAACAGAAGTATTCGGCTTTTGATAGGGAATTGTTAGCTATTTATAAATCTATTAAACATTTTCGCCATCTTCTCGAAGGAAGAGACTTCATGATTTTTACAGACCACAAGCCTTTGACATTTGCTTTCTCTCATAATTCCGATAAGTATACACCTAGACAAACAAGGCATTTAAGTTTTTTAAGTGAGTTTTCAATGGATATTCGACACGTGGCGGGCCGAGATAACGTGGTAGCGGATGCGCTATCGCGGATTGAGGCCGTTCAAGGAGAGTTAAATTTCGAGGCACTGGCTGCATCCCAGTCAGAAGATGCTGAGCTTCGTGCGCTGATGCAGAGTGACTCCGGTTTGAAATTTAAACAAATATCGCTACCAGGATCTGGCGCGAAAGTTTTTTGCGATATTTCTACCGATTCCGTGCGTCCATTTCTCACAGCCCCCTTTAGACGAGCGGCTTTCGACGCACTGCACGGGTTAGCGCATCCGGGAGTTAAGGCGACAGTCAAATGCGTAACACAGCGTTACGTTTGGCCGTCGGTGAAAGCAGACTGCCGCATTTGGGTACAGTCGTGTATTCCCTGTCAGCGCAATAAAATAAATAAACATGTTTCAACCCCAATCGGCAATTTTCCGCGTTCGTCATCACGTTTTGAGCATGTGCACATTGACATAGTGATGTTACCTGTTTCTGAAGGGTATCGCTATTGTTTAACGTGCGTAGATAGATATTCCCGTTGGCCAGAGGCATTTCCTTTGCGCGATCAAGAGGCAACAACCGTCGCGAAAGCTTTTTACGAGGGTTGGATTTGCCGTTTTGGAACACCGTTGCGGGTGACAACGGACCAAGGTAGGCAGTTTGAGTCGCACCTGTTCAAGGAGCTCAATTCGTTGTTAGGTACGACTCACTTGCGAACTACAGCTTACCACCCTGCGGCAAACAGTATGGTGGAACGTTTTCACCATCAATTTAAAGCGGCAATTCGATGCCATCAGAACGATCAGTGGACTGAGGTCCTTCCAACTGTCTTGTTAGGTTTGCGTGCAGCGTGGAAAGAGGACTTGAAGGCTACATCAGCTGAATTATTATATGGTGAGCCGTTGCGTTTGCCGGGCGAATTTTTATCACCGTCGTCGGTGAATTCCGATTCGGCGTTTTTTGTTAAGCAACTGCGGTCTTATTTGCGTAATATGAGTCCGGTGCCCGGGTTGTGACATAGCAATAGGAAAATATTTATTTATAAAAATTTAGATACTTGTAAGTATGTTTTTTTGCGCCGCGATTCAACTAAGGGTATTTTGCAAGCTCCGTATGATGGCCCTTATGAAGTAATTAGTAGATCCGATAAGACCATTACGGTAAATTTAGATGGTAAAATTAGTATAGTGTCGTTAGATAGGGTCAAACCGGCGTATATAGTTAGCGAAGACATTTCAGTGCCATCAGAGGATATTATATTTTTACCGCACACCGAGACATTACCGAATACCGAATTACCCCCTACGGATGATAGAATCCGTTCAGGAACATCAAGTTCCATTCGGAACGCGACATCTTTTGTAACGCGTTCTGCGAGGCGAGTTAGATTCCCAGAGCGATATCAAGCAGGTTTTTTTTATAGCTTAAGTTAGTTGTGTACGTTGTAATATTTAAGAAATATTCTAGCGAGGGGGTGCTGTAGCGGCCTCGTCGCTGTTATTCGAGTTGGTAGAAAGCCTCCGAGTGAAAGTGCAAGCGGGCCCACATTTGGCGACCACTTGTGCGGCCGGGGTTTTTCCCAAGTTTTGGCAACGCGACGCTAGCTTTCCCGCCCGTTTTTGCGCGGGATTTCCTTAGCCTTGCCGCCTGGGCAAAAGGGCTATAAAGGCCCGTAGGAAAGCGGCCGGGCGGTCATTACTTTTTACACTATAGCGGCGTTAGCACGTAGACTCACAGCCATTTAAAATAAAGTTTTCTTACGTTCTGAAATACGACATTTCACATACCACACCTCCGGTTTGAGTGCCGACAACTTTGTCACTATTGATACAAGCATTCTATTCATGCGCTCCACTTGCCCATTAGCTCTCGGTATTTCTGTCGTTATTAAAACTATTAAATCTATTGCCTCTGATTCACAATATTCCCGAAAATCATGAGAAATGCAAGCTGTACCGCGATCAGAAATAATTCTGTGAGAATTTCCAAAAATTGCTGATTGTTTCTTTAGACGTTCTATTACTTCGGAGGTAGCTGTAGTTTTCGTAGCATATAACCACAAAAACTCCGAAAATGCATCTACCACTACAAACATATGCTTATAATTCTTTCGCGTGGATGGAAGTGGCCCGAGATGATCAACATGATATGTATCCAATGGAACGTTTCCCTTGTCAATGGAATGTAAAAATCCTTCCTGTCTCCTGTTACGAGCCGGAGAGGTCACAGCCGCGTGGCTGGGGGCTGTATTTGGTTATGATTGTGTTATTAGGCTAACTCAGGTTTGTTACTTAACCTGAGCGCCAAAGGAAAGGAGACGCGGGGATGAGCCGACGTATGGCTAACGCCGGGTGTCACAGGAAAGGTCAAGACGTGGGGATGAGCCGACGTATGGCTAACGCCTGGTGCCCCAGGAAATGATATGTAAACTAGCCGACGTATGGCTAACGCCGGGTGTCACAGGAAATGTTAGTATTTGTACTCGTAACAAAGATATGCCAGTATACCTCGAGCGGCTAAGATATACCGACTGATGGATTGTTGGGACTTTGGTTATAATTAATAAAGACAAAATTACGTTTGAAATAAATGATTAAAAATATATTCTCCCCAAAACCGGTATTACAAATGTTCTAGTGTATTTGTCGGTAAAAGTAATGCTACAAGAATTGATCTTGATTTGACTTTTAACTTGAGTTTGAATAGTTTCGACTCCGACAAAGCGAGAATCTAATCCTGCTTAGTTTTAACGAAAAACAAGCGAAACGGGGACCCAAAAGTACTTTAGAAAAGTGCCTAACAGTAAACTATACGTACTGTATGGTTATTAATATTTGAAGGAGACTCTAATCCGATCTTGCTCGAAATGACTTTTTCAATTCAACGCGGTGACTCTAACTGAACTCGGACAGAGGTTCCTCGTTAGAGGGCGTTCGAGAATTAACTGGGTCTTCTTCAACCCTTTTTATACCCAAAAAATGGGTAAAAAACGAGTAGTGTTGGAAACGGTGGGAACGGATCAACGCGACGTTTTCGTCTAATGAATTTTCATCGCGTTGGTCCGGAGACGTTAGATATTCTCGGGCGAAGCCTAATAAGGAAATCCTGGTAGCCGGGAAAGCTAGGCAAGACTAAATTCCTTCTTTGCGGTGATCTCCGACTATTCTCGAACCTCCAGCTCCAAAAGAAAAATGAAAAATCATAGGCGCACGTAACACTCCCATGTTTCCTTTCAGCAAGAATACACGGAACACAATTGCGCACCACGTTTTCTACTTTTGATTTTATGTCTTTGAACCAATAGTCTTTCCTAATCAGTGTCTCCGTTTTCGTACTTCCGAAATTACCGTTCTCGTGTACACGTCCAATGATTTGCGATTGCATAGAACGCGGATTATCAATTTCACGTCACCCTTAATTTCTGTAAATAACATACCATTCCGCAGTACAAACCCGCTTAGTTATTTTGCATTCACTGTGTAACGATTCTGGAACTAAGCTCAGAAGTTACAAGCGCTCGTGAGGTAAAGAGCTGCTTTTATTTACTGAACGACTCGTTTTTCGCAAATAACTAAATGTTAAGAATGTGAGATTCGCGTGGTGTGCGGTTAAGGAGTGAAATCCACAGGTCAATATCTTTCAACAATAAGGTTTATTCAATAAACCGATAAGAAAAATGAAGTTAACAAATAATAATAACATCACATATTGAAAAGTATACATATACGAGGTGCGATCATTAAGTACCTGGACTGTGTCTGCTGTGACCAAACGGTTCACACAATTGACATGCGCTCGCAGAACATATGAA